GTTTTGGTCCTCTTCACTATCCCTATGCATGCGGCGAATTAAAATCAGAAGATCTTATGATGAATAAAAGTCGGATGATATCGTGCGAAAAGAAGGTTGCACAAGCGCCCACCGGCGAACACAGTCTCCACAGCGACCGCTGCCATCATCGAGTACCCGTTCTGCACTTATTCTTTTACCCAAGTGTTATTCCATCCATGAGGCGTTCCCATCACGTGGACGACGACAGCATGATCTGAAGCTCAATAGGACCACCGAAATGAGGATATAGGTGACAAGTATTCCTACCAACGACGTTTCGCTACAACCTGGTTCTCTCCTTCCGATTTTCATTTCTGATTTCGATGACAAAAACTAGCAGTCAACAAATGAGTCAGTGATCGTGTAGTTTTCAAAAGGAAAGCAAAAAATGAGAAAAAACCTTGAAAAGAAGTAATCAGTCGTTAGTGAATACAATGTTGTGGAGAGTCACTCTTCTTATGAACGCGTTACATAATCATCAAGCGGTTGGTCGACTAATCGTAGGATTCATTATCAAAGAAGTAATTAGTTTAACGTTTTGTTTTCTGCCTTCTATAATTTTCATGGCAGGTTACTAAGCGAAACCCCGCTGACGGGTGATTACTGTGGCAAAAAGATCGATAGAAATAGCTGAGAGACGTGCGAAACAAAGGACCCGCATGGTGTGGTGGTGAACGCGTTACTCCCCGGAAAGGATAATAGCGCGTTCGTTCCCCACCATAGACACCTGCGGTCCAGAGTTTTGCAAATATCTCAGCAACGTTGAAGTAATTAGTATCGTGTGGAAGCATCGGAGTTGCAGCAAACCTCCCAATAATCCACAACGACCGATGACTTCCTGTGGTGAATGTTGCCGGAATACGTCAGAACTTCAATCTCGCGATGTCGGGCGAAACCAGATTTGGCCAGCATTCATCATATCAGTGAGAAAAGAAGATGATCCTCATGTCACAGCATAACCAACAGACGAGCAGGTCTGCTTCTCTAATAGCAATAAGACAAAATGAATACAGGAAATGCTAGAACCCGTGAAATCACACGGCAAGGCCATAGACCAGTAAAGTAATCAAGCACGCGTGGTTGCTTTGCTACAAATGCAAGCAGACAATCCCTAGCCAGAGTTCACCAAAACATAGCTTCTAACAAAAAAAGGAAAGTCTAACAAAAAGAAAAAAAGGAAAAGGAATAACATGTGATACGAATTCTTACACTTCAACGGTACGAGTTCGACGCACGTCGAGGAACGACCGAAATGTAGTCGTCACACAGAATCTGATGAAGGAGGAGCCAAAACTTAGCGTAATATTGCAAAAATTGTTCCTTTTGAATGCGTTAAGGATATTTCTATTTTGCATGAAATCTAAATGAACAGATGAAGTTTTATGAGAGAAATAATTGAAAGACGCATTAGGTACGAGATCAGAAAAGGAGGGGAAATTATTGAAAACTGAGGAAAATGTTCCGAAAAGAAGCTCTTGAACTCAGCTGCTTTACTTTGTTAGGATCGCATTCCGTCATGGTTTCCATTTACTTCCATTTATCGAAAAACGAACAAGAACGGAAAAGAAATAAAGAAATAAGCAAAGCTTGTATGCATGCACGTAAAATGAAAATAAGGAAAATAAGTAAAAATAGCAAGGTGTGGAAAGAGAAACAAAGATGAGAGATGTAGATTTGAGTAGAAGGGAAAACAAAGAAAGAGAGATGGATATAAATCGAAAAGGTGCAGTATTGTTTCAATAATTTTGGAACACCTAGCTATACTTTTATCCAATGGTTCATCGCCAGCTCATCGTGGCAATGGTGTTAATCCTTGTTCTGCGCTATTGAGCGGTGCTATCATCCTTCAGTAGGGTACTATTCTCGCTTAGAAATTCAAAATTTTCATAAAAAAATCCTAAACGTGAACCTTTCACAAGATATAGCCCGATGAGCTTCTCTGGATTCGTCCTCAGCATACACAACAATAGTAGAGGGTGTTTTCGTGTTAAGAGCGTGACGCTTTTTGTATCCCTTGACAGCAGTGATCACCCCTGGCCTGAGAAGAAAGAACAGTCTACTGATACTCACTAAAGTTATCAGATGATTAAAGATTACAAATGATAAAGAGTAAGAAGGATAAGACGTTCGGCATTGATCAATCTCTTAGGGATGCGCCATGCACTCAACATCAGTTTGCATCGTTGGAGGTAAGTGAATGCATATATGGCTTACGCAATGGCTTTCGATAGCTCACCGATGTATCAGGTTACTGCTGCTATCCTTTCACTTTCGAGTTTTGCTCATACCTCAGTACCTTGTTGTTTTATTCACATAGTATGCGGAATAGTCAGGTGATTCCCGAACACTTAACACTTGAATGGCCCGTCCTCATTGGTTGTGCGGGCCCCAGCAAAGTCTCCATTTTTCGGAGTTTTACTGGTTAAGCCATTGTGGTTCTCTGGAATCCCGTGCTCAACCTGGCCAAAGTCTGCTCCAGCTCTTCACCACCACAGGCAGTCGCAGCCCTTGTGGATCAAAGGGAGGGGATGAATCCCCGCTGTATATCGCAGTCGGACACCCAGGAACACCTCCCAGCCACGATGAGGCGGTAAACCGTTGGGAGGGATCCGAACAATTTTTATTTAAATGGTAATTTATCGATTGAGTAGAAATTTCTGCCCTTGCAATACTGAATTTGCAATATTAAAAGTTATTTAACCGTCATGTGGCTTCCAGGTCACCGATCAATGTGTAGTAGAGATGAGTTTGCCATCTGATGACATGGCAGTATCGGTTCTCATAATATGCCCTCCCATAGATGGGTTTTGAGTGGGAATGTCAAACTCCATATTTCTGAACACTGGATGGATTCTGGATAGATTATGAGAGGAATTGTAAAACCGGCCAAAAAGGAAAGCTCTAATTGCGTGCCGTACACGGTAGCCAACAACACTAAAGCCTTCTAAGAAATAAAAGACAAAGATAAGGTAGTGGATAAGTGAAGGCGAAAAAATGATAATGGGGTGATTACGTTATTGACGTTGTTTGTCTCCAAGTTTGATGGTGAACCTCACTTTCACTTTGTCGGTGTTGCCAAACGGTTACCTGCTACTGTTACCCCGCTCAGGTATTTTAAGCATATATTTCCCGCCCAGTTGTCTTCTCGTTTAGATTCTTTTTAGATGACAAAAAAAAAGGCCAATGGATTTATGTATTTTGCTGATTCTCGTCGTGCATTCTACGAGACTGAAGCTGGTTGTAGTCTTGACTCGAGGCGACTCGTCGAACGTGCTGCTGGTGAGTGGAAGGAAATGACCCACACAGAACAGGAGCACTGGAAGAATGAGAGCAGACGACGACACGGAGAACAGGTAAAAGAGGAACGGATAACGCTCCTGGTTTCGATCAATCTTTAAGGGATGCGGCAAGCATTCAATTTCATTAAGCATCAGTAACGATGATTGAATGCATATCTGACCTATAGAATGACTCCCAGCGGCCTGACGATTTATCGAGTCAGTACTGCAACCTTCCCAAAGAGGTCTGCTACCATTTGCCGGACTTGAGGATAACGAAGGCTTGGTGAGCTTGGGGCGCCGCATCGAACCCATGAGTACTGCAGGGCGTCTCTCACAGCCGCGCTATACGCGCCCTCAACAAGCACGAGTAAATAAAATGCTGTTCGCCGATTACATATGAATGTTCGCTCTATTTGAGTTGGTGACGAATGCTATTCCTGGAGAAACAGCCACTTACTTTCGAAAAACGACTAAGTACACTGAGCATATCGCCTTTAGTTCAACATTGGTCTCACAAGGCAATCGAACCAAGTTCTAAGAAGAATTCAGCACAGCGATTTCTCCTTAGACACTCTACTTAGGCCCAACAAAATAACAATCTTTTGAAAGTCGAGTTTACAAGAATGGCGTGCTGTTTGTACACTTCTTACTCTCATGGTAGAATCTTTTTTCGACCATCCCACTCATTGTTAGACACATAAATAAGAGTGTTATAAGTCGATCGGACAGCATGTTTTCTCAAAAAAGTGGTAATACAAATAGAACATGATCATGTCATTATTCCAACTACTTCTATTAAAGGATACTCCCAACGGTTTACCGCCTCATCGTGGCTGGTAGGTGTTCCTGGGTGTCGGACTGCAATGTACAGCGGGGCGATTCATCTCCTAGCAGGGTCTCCCAAGCTGAGAAGGAGACCGGCGTTTTCATCAGGAAGCCTAGCTAAGAGTAAACCAATACAAGGATCCACCACCGTCCTGGTAACAAAGTCGAATGGTGGCAAATCTCCCTCTGATCCACAAGGGTTGTGACTGCCGGTGGTGGTGAGGACCTGGGGCAAACTTTGGCCATGCTGACCTCGGGATTCCAGGAAACCACAATGGTTTAACCAGCAAATCTCCGATAAATGGTGATTATGTTGGGGCCCACACAACCAGTGAGGATGGGCCGTTCAAGTGTCAAGTGTCAAGTCTATTAAAGGATGGGAGATATAGTTCTCGGCGTTGATCAATCACTGAGACATGCGCCAGGCATTCGACTTCATTAAGCACCATTGGAGGTATTTGGATGCATATCAGGTCTACAGAATGACTCGAGGTGGCCTACCAATGTATCGAGGCAGTGCTCTCATTTCCCCACTTGGTAAGCATGGGGCGCTGGATCGATGTATTTCCATGCGTATTTCGTGGCACCGCTAACCACTGCGCTACACGCTCCCACTACTTCTATTATAACAATATATGTACATATAATATACATATTACATATATACATGTAAAGTGTACTTATCGACACAAATAGGAAAGACGATGTAAATCTGAAACAAAATTTGGCATGTCACAAATGAGCATAATTTTTTGGTTATATGCTATTTGCAAAAGCGATCATAATGGACTAAACGATTTTCGTTACAAGGGGTCAACTCGTCACGTATCAAACCATTTCACACCTCAGCCACATCGTCCCAAGCAGAGAGTGATGTCGCAACTCGAACGAGAACTGATCGAAAGGGCCAAGGAGCGTGGCGTGGATCGAGTAACGGCTCGTCAAACTCTCACTGATAAGCTGTTGTGGAAGGAGAAAGGCGAAGTGGTAGGTTGAAATGTGATCCATATCAATGGCTTATCAACTACATGGCAAAACAGAAAGGGATTGTCATCCTGCACAGTCCCTACTTTACCTCACCGGTTCATTATTACACAGTATAAGAAAGGAGCCACTTCGGTGGTGAATTCTTCGACGGTAAAATAGTTCGCAATTAGTTTGCTGACTTGTCTACCCTGTCTAACGATTTGTCTAACGAGAACACCCAAAGAACGAACATATACACAAAATTCACTGGTTACGTAAATGTTACACCGTACATTACGTAATTTTATACCACCTAATACTTCATCTGAATATGTTGTAGGCGACGATTCGCATGCAACGTTGGGCGCTGTTGGTACTGAGCAAGGATTCGGTTGGTGTGATTCCGAATGAAATTTGCGCTGTTGTGATGGAAAACGGCGAAATAGTCGGCGAGATGCGCCTCATTCGACATGGATTCCAACCAAGCACGTTCTGTTTCACTTTTATCTCTTTGTAGACGAAAATACTTTTGCGATACGAAGTGAAACGGTCCACATAGTAAAACTAAAGGAAAAATAATGAATTCGTCAGTGGAAATGCATACAGCAAGACATGAAGACCGACTTTTGTACGAGATGCACTAATGAATCTTACAGATTTCTATTTGCTCTTGAAAAGCAGATAGTTGCTCATTTATTCCTCCTGTATACTATCTAGAATGAGTTTTGGTACCCAGGAGTGGGATTGACTGAGGGAAACAAGAAGCTCGTACAGCCCTGTTCTTGAAAAAATGCCTACAGCTCACTGAGAATAACAGTTGCTCTGGTTCATACATCGTTGAAATCCTTGTTGTCACTATTGCCATGAACTATTTCCTCCTTGAGTCTTTCTGGAGTTCTGACACCGTTGAATGAAGCGCATATGGTAGACAAGTTCCATGCCGAAGAAATTGGCGCAATGTTGTCCAATCCCGGAGTCACGGAGGTTTTCGTGACCTGCCATGCAAATTTAGGCAAGGCAGCCGTTTCTCTAACGTATTACGCTTCCATGATATGTAAGCGCTTTCCAGGTAATTGTCATCCACTGGTAGAATTTTAAATTCATGTGCAGAAAATCGTCAAATTCACTACCACATAATCAGGTGGTAACGCCAAACTATTTGCCACTCATCAAGATTTAAATGTACAACAACGGTCGATTTACGTCGCTTGTCGGAGTAGTTCAATCTTATGTGAAACAACAACGTTGATGTGTACAAGGAAAAAAAGCAACAAAAACTTAAACCACACTCATTAGCAGAACTCGTCCAAAATGGGTATTACTCATGCTCTACCTTAGTACACTATGGTCACTTTCCCATTGCTTGTCTTTCACCAAAGGAGCTGATAGCACTGTGGTAGTGATGTCGGCTATTACGAGGGTGGTGCTTGTTCGATTCCGCTCCGAATTCACCAAGCGACTCATCCGTCTGGGGTCCAGAAGTTGCTACTGGAGTTGTCCGGGAAAAAAATCACTCTATGCAATCCAATAGGGAACGCTCTAGCTCGGCTACCTCAAGACTCCAGGGTAGATCGACTCGACCAGCATTCTACGACATTCAAGATGAAATAAAAATCCTCAGGCAGTCGCCGAAGCCACACGCAAACGTTGGAAGACTTTAGTGAATGATGGAAGCGAAAAAACGAACTGAATGTGAGAGGTGCTGGAATCCACATAGTAGACGCGAAGACGGGTCGCATAAAATAAAATAAATAAAGTATATTTCACACATGTGTTACCGTGTACGTTAACATCCAAGCATATGTGGACTGGACCGTTTGTAAGGATTTCAGCGCATGCTTTTTCCGGCTCTTTCAATCGATAGCCCGGCAAGAATATGTTGGTCCAGACATGGCCCGTTAAAAACTGTTGAAACAATTTATTAATTCACAAAAAGAGTCGTTTACCGGACAAATTTTTTCAACGCACATTACGCAGAGCTAAAAATTAGGCAGTTCTAAATGACCATCACATAAAATTAGGCACAGTCGCCTATGCGTTAATGAGCTAAAGACGCATCCGTATCATTAACGGTAAACTATACACTTTCTAAAGTAGTTAGATGTTGTTGCAGAACCATCAGGAAATGCGCAAAATGTGCGCAGCATCACTTGGGATCCAAGCGTCCCATCCGAGGTGAACACAACCGCTCTCGAACTCGTGAAATTTGTTCAGGATACTTGGAATGGCCTCGTGATGGTAACAATTCCTATCCAGAGCTTCTGATTATTATTTATTGATTGTATAAAGTTTGAAAAAGTTGCCAAAAAGTTAGTGATGCACTACGCATTTATCTTCCTTCAGTCGTAGAGATGACTGAATTTGACCTATGCGACGAGTAACGGTGTGTAGATTTACTGCTTTTGCCTTCTCAGACCAGTCTGGTGCCGATTTGCCGACCCCAAAAAGATGAGTGGTGTCTAAATATTCCCGTTAATGGAATTCAGCAACTTCACTGCTTCAATGTAGTGATTTTGCTGATACTTTTCCCTCATTCTTCATGCTTTTCCTCAAGCTATGCCGTTCTTAATTTCGGTTTTGTTTTCCATTGGTAACAGAAATCGTGTGTGATCATTTTGAACATCTCGCAGGTTCCTGAGCATCAAATGAGTCGACTTGGTATAGCGATGCATTGGATGAAACAGAGTAGAGATGCATACTGTAAACGTAAGTAATCCTGGTTGAGTAATAAAGTTAGATCTCATGAGCGTGGATGGTTCTAGTAGAAATGACCTACTGGAATTCAGACATCTCTTATTGAAGAATATTCCCTACCCTGATATATTAAAAAGCTTTTACGACACTATTTGAAATAAATAGTAAGATGGTCTCCTTATTTATTTCCACGGTCTACGGATAGTATGTGCTTTTCGTAATTCTCTTTCTGTCGTCCTAGTAGTTCAGTTTCAGGCGACACCAATACGATGCGCCTCGATCGTATCATGTGCCTCGAAGATGTCATTACCGTATTTCGTCAGATTAACGAACGAAGTACGGTAAGTGAAATGAATATTCGATCGCTGGTGATATTTTGTGACAGCACGGTGCACATACGTGGAATTTGGACACCTGTCCATCTCTAGCAGCGTGAGTCGCATAATGAAAAGCTGAAACAAGTTCAGGTCGACATCGAAGAAGATGAGCAGTACGAACAGCTTAGAGATCTTGAACTCAGTGACACCATCCTCTTCGCTCGAGCTGCTGCGTAAGTATTGTGTGGTCGTTTCGTTGGAGTAGTCGGAGAGGTGTATTTGAGTTCCTGGGCATAGAATCGTGATGTGGGACGAGGATAGCGAAGTGTTAGGGGTGCTGTCAACCAGAAAGCAAAGGCCCTGTTTCGACCCGCGCCCCAACGTTCTCCTCCAATCCATGTAGGAACGCCTTAGCCTGACTATCTCCAAGATTACAAGGAAGGGCGACTCGTCCAGCATTCTACGGCGGTCATAAAGAAACAAACTTCTCAAGCAGTGTCTGAAACAACGAGCGAAGTGTTCGATGATCACTATGCACGATTACTGCGAGGAAAACTAATCGAATGAGAGAAATGCTGGAGTCCGAACAGTAGATGTGATGACTAGTCGTATAAAATAAAAAAGAAAATCGTGATGTGCAGCGCCAGATTCACTATGAGTAACATCATTCAACATCAGAAGGAGTTCAAAATTTCCAGTTGCAAGCCCAATGTCAAGCCCTATGATAAAGCCCTTGCTACTGTAACGTACCAGTGGCTAACTGCTCGTAAACAGAATTAAAATAAAGGCTTTTGTGCCAAACTGTGACGCTATTTGTGTAGCATGAACAAGCGAAACCCCTGAGAAGCTTTGGTGCGTTACGATAATCAATATAGACATCAATGGCGCTCGCTCGAATCAATTACTGAAGGGAAAATGAAGAAACAGATTTCCTCAAAATTTTGTCTTTTTATGTTCTATAGCCACGAATTCGACCAAGGATCACTTGGATGATGTTCTATGAAATAATGTAATAAAAGAGGTGCTGGCAGCGTCGTGGTAGATAGACCACTCAACATTTGTAACGCCTTGGTTCGACCCGAACTTGAGAAGTGTACTATTTCCCTGGTGCATAGGAACTGATAGCAACACGTCCAGGAATGTTATTTCCGATTAGAAACGCTGGAACTACCCTTGAAGAAGACCTGGGCACGTCCGCCTGAGTACGGGCACGTGGGGGAATCAACTTGGCTGGCACAGTGTCGTCGAAGAGCTTCATAGTAAGGAAACGAATTAGATGAAATAAGTGTATGAATTCGGAAAACATGCGATATATGGATGACACGGAAAAAACAAATAATGCAGTAAGTATGTAATAATAAAGTAGCAATATGGTAATTGCTTGATGATGTTATACCCAGTCAAGGAAGAACAAGCTAGTTAGCGTGGTGACAACTGGATCAAACTAATAGGAGTGCTAGGAGATATTCAGTTTGTGCATTCATGTATAAATGCACAATTTCCACGAATTTAATTAAGAAAAAAAAACGAAGCAGACTAACAGGAGAAGATCGAATGGATTTTCACATTATTTATTAATATACTGGGCCCAGATATTCTTACAGAATTCTGTTCGCTTTTGTGACACCAAAACACCTCGAACTTTGGCGATTGCGATGTTCCACATCGACGAATATGTGATCGCCTACAAATCGTCTTCTAGTGTGAATATTTTGGAACGCAAACTCTGATGTGATTGCTGTAAGAAATGAAGACCACTGATGTGTCCATACTTACTTTGATACTTGAATGGCCCGCCCTTTACTGATTGTGCGGGACCCAGCGTAATTTTCGTTTTTCCGGAGTTTTGCTGGTCTACCCATTCTGGTTCACTGGAGTCCCGAGGTCAGCTTGACCAAAGTTTGTCCCAGCTCATCACCATCACCGGCAGTCGCCGCCCTTGTGGATCAGAGGGAGATTTGCCACCATGCGACTTTGATATCAGGATGGTGGTGGATCCTGGTATTGGTTTACTCTTATCTAGGCTTCCTGATGGAAACGCCGGGCTCCTTCTTAGTTTGGAGACCTTGCGAGGGGATGAATCCCCCGCTGTACACCGCAGTCCGACACCCAGGAACACCTCCCAGCCACTATGAGGCGGTAAACCGTTAGGAGGGGCATAAACTATCGATATATTAAAACAATGATGCTGAGATATTCGGAGAACTGGAACCCCGGGCCAGACAGAACTACGATTACCCTTTCCGGAAGTGCGCGTGTTACACACTGCACCATTGAGGCCTTTAGTTCTCGTTTCTCTCAGCTACTGATGTATTAGTTCATTGTTATATCATCGCTAACAAGTATGGTACTAATATGTCCATCTGATGGCATGGAGAGTCCTGTTAGCCCTGTCGAAGAAACGAACCAACCACGAAATGTGTATTGCAGCGTACCTCTAAGCACTGGGCTACATCAACCCTTCTTATGAAATAGTGTTTGGATAATACATAACTTTTAAAAAAAAGTTAAAAAGTTACACATTGTGATTTCGAGTGCAACTTTATCCTAACTGGGTATATTGGCGATTCGTGCTTTCCAGATCGCACCCGTTGAAGGGTGACTGCAGACGGCGCCGTTAGAGTAAAAAACTGGCTGAGGGAAACCAAAAGGAGACCTTACTGGTGCAGCAATAGATCGCGTGAGACCTAGAAAGAATAATAGCGGGATCGAATCTGGCTTAGGACCCCAGTTGTCCAAATATCTCAGAATCGTTGCGATGTTAGGATATGTGTTAAATTGCACTAAGTACTGCAAAGGACGTATACCACTAAATTTATTACACTAGTTGTTATATTATTTGGTGTTGTTACTATTGTGGCAAATTTGGTGAATGATTGTATAAATGCGGCACCATTTCAGGGAGTACTTCGCAAGGGCGATGAAAATGTGCACGTTACCACAGCCTACATTTGACAGTACTTCCATCATTCGGCACCATAATCCTCATCACTTCCTCAGTCAGCACGATCATCAGCTAGAACAAGCACATTTGGACATATCCGACGGTTCATCTACAGTTGGTGCTGGGACTCAGGTTGCAGCACAAGGCGACATCTGCTGGACGATTGCACCACCTAAGTGCTCTCAGCCCGAACTCTATCCTTTGGCACTCGAGCCGCCGAGACAACCCATATCGGGAAGACTAGCGACTAATCCTTTCAACAAACCGGCAAACATACAAGCTCCAGAACGTGGTGAGCAGTGTATTTCTCAACAAACGTATTGATTATCCATGTGATCATCATTTTTTGACTAGTGATTAAACCTTATCGTGAGTAATTGTAACCATCTCCACGACAATGCACATTGACTCCAATATACATGCTGTTGCCGTTTCGGACCGCATAAGTTGATTTCAATGCGCATTTCAATTGCGATGAGCTTAAAGTGCACAGAAATTTCGTAAGAGTGAACAATTTACTGCGGTCTAAAAAGGTTCGACAACCGTTTCCCTTCTTTATTTGTTATTATGTGTTAATTCTTAAGTCATCTTAACATGTTTCTACACTACTGATATCTCGTTAACTACCACTTAAAGTTCAATGCGAGTTGATTTACACTCATGTATAAAATGGGGTGCAGATTCGTCGTCATGAATTTATATCAAGCCATTTCTTTTATGGCCGCTTATTTTCCCACGTAGATATTACTTACTGTACTTTTGCGTTCAATCGCTCGCTTACCCAGCACAAAGCAGTGTTCCACGTATGACGCCACATAATCAGCTTTATATATTTGACGATGTGCAAAAACTTAGAGAAAACTTCCCAGTCATGTCGTGTATTGGCTGGTAGTGGTGAAGGTGCACAAGGATCCCAAGACTGCAACACATGCGAGCACTCGTACTGCTCTCGTTCCTCGTTAATCCCGTGGCGATTAATTGCCTTTTGTACCGAAAAAGTAGGAGAAATACTGTTGCTGAGGAGAATATTATAGAAAGACTCGTCCGCGAAGGGTCGGGGTTGGCCAAGTTGGCCGGCATGAGTGGGGATCAATTCATAGCACGTGCGGCGAAAAAATAGCTGGTGGTTGGACGCGGAAGGTATACAAAAATTAGGCGTCCGACTAAGGAAGTACTAAAACTTTAGGGTGTTAATTCCGTTTAAAGAAATCATACCGTTTCAGACTTTTCACATGTTACGCGTTGGTTGGAAACAATCCGATTGGACGACATTGAAGCATATCAGGAACCATTGTGAGCCATATTTATTCTAGACAAATTAAGATTATCACTACAAGAATTCTACTGCATAGAAAATTAGTGGACGAGATCAAGCTGTTCCACTAAAATCAATAAAATTGAGTACTTGGTGAAGTGAGTTGCTATAAACAACGATTTATGACCAATCAGTAGTAATGTCATACACTGAGAATCATCAAACGCTATATTAAAAAAATAAAAAGGATAAAACTCTTGGCGTTGATCAATCCCTGAGGGATACGCCATGTACTCGACTTCATTAAGCACCGTTTGGAAGTGCATATCTGGCCTATACAATGACTCGCAGTGGCCAACCGATGTATCGAGCCAGTGCTGATATCCTCCCAGACAAGTCTGGTACGGATTTGCCAACCCCAGAGTGGCAGCAGGCTTAGTGGGCCATGGGCGGAGAGACCAATTCCACATGTGTTGCAGGGCGCCCCGACCACTGCCACACACACAGCGCCACTTTAAATCCGAGTAAAATCCTTGCTGGGCAGAAACTGGAATTGTTATCCACCTAAAGTTTGCTTCATTTCGTGATTCAACAATGAGTTAAAAATCGGATAGAAATAATCCTAATGCCAACGTGAAGATCTGAAGTCAAAAAAAAATCTGGCTTAACCAGTAAGTCGTGTATTTTCAGCCCAGGAGCGTCTTTCAAAATTGCCGAGACCACCGAACACTGCCCATCCAACCCGATATGCGACGACTAAGAATATCTCTTTTATTTCAGTTATAAAATTTTCAAATATATAAACGAGGACAATTTAAGGAAAAAAAACACCGCCCATATCTGTGAAACTCACTATTAACGGCTAACAACAGCGGAAATCTATGAACATATCTCTAATAATAACAATAACAATTTCGAACACATATTACTCAATTCTAAAAATCGCAGCATTTAACCCGAAATATTCCCACGAAATGAACTGAACTCAGAAAGAAGTGGTAGATTGCACACTTAAAGATCCCATAATAAACATACGACATGAAAAAAAACCTAACACTGCCTTCTTTTTTATAAACCATTCGTTGTAATTGAAATGAATGGACCGCTACCTCACTTTCTGATAAATTTTTGTAATAACTACCAAAAAGATGAAAACAACGATCTCCGAAAATCAATACGGTTTTCCATCTACACAGAAGAACTGAAAGTAACAGACAGGATGTACAGTATAAAGAATGAATTTCACCAAAAATTTCGCCCAAAGAAACAGTGTTTGTTACAAATCACAGGGCTAAATTCGTCAAGGATATGTTCCAAGGATTTCACTGGTTATGGTATAAACTGAAACACATTTAAGTAGTCACAGGCAAACATCGATAAGCTACGTTATTAGAGTAATGTGCACAAGTGAACAGCCGATGACAGGTCCAGCTCCTAGCCTCACCTACTCTCCAGGTGAATTCCAATGAATCGGTTTGACAACGACGCTTCTAATATTTCTGCATCTGGTGAAATATTCCATAGTATTTTTCATTCTATTCGCTCAACGCCTTGCTCCGGTGGGAGCATTGTATAAGCAGTAACGTCAGCGAGGACATCGCAGTTCGTTGTTGGTACAGGCATTTTTCTCCTTGGACTACACTGACTGGTCCTGAAGTGGCAGAGCTTCAGACACATTAAACACTTTTTAATTCCCAAAGACAAAGTAAAAAATGCTTCATGGTATCGAAACAGCATAACGAACTCGTTTTTATCTTTCTCCTTTTCTTTTTTTTCGGTTGCTTCATCCTTTGTAGATTTCTCATCACCTTCTGGAATAGACGGAGGAGGTTCGCTTTTATCTCGTTTAGAGCTGTAATTTGAGTTGACACGAATATTTGAAGAAAGAAAATAAGCAAATTAAAGAGCGATATATGGGAAGTAAATACCGAGAAATATGTGCAAGACTCTGAGTCCTTCTTGGCAGTCGCTCCTCCCGTTCTCTTTCAATACTACGTCTTTCACTAGCAATCTCTAGATCCTCCCATTGGGACATCAGATCCGATACAGTGAATCCTTTCACGCCGGCTGTTTGGTGCAACACATCTATTTGAAGGAAGTTAAAATTTTATAAAACAAATACAGAAGACACATTCAGTATACCAGAAAAATCTATTAGACTTATGTGGGGTGAACTCGGAGCACTTTTACTTTTCTTCTGAACCATTCTTTTACGGAAAAGTTCATATTCAGCTCGAGCCTAAATTTAAAGAACTTCGTCAATCCGTCAGACTAAATCCAGACATGAGCTCCTTAAATTCCCGAACTTTGCAAATAATGCAAAACTACTTATAGGCGTTACAATGAATCAAACAACATTACTTGCAATTCCTTATAGCTCATAACGTGTTCGCAAGCTTTCCCCAGTAGAACTATGCCATTAAATATTTTTATTGCAAGCATAAGCAACCAGGTCAGAACTGAAATATGGAATATTTAACAGAATACAACGTAGTCCGTAAAAAACAAGGAATGCGGAGTAGAAGTGTCCTTTAAAAAATTTACCACAAATAATTAGGCTCGTTTTACTTTGCAATGTGAATGACTGGCTAAGTACGCGTATTAGCATTATAGACAGTGGGATAGGAATAAATCCCATCCTTCGAGAGACCTTAAATGACCTGCATTAAAAAGGTAAAATGAATGGACAACTAAGACTTAGCACTGTTTTTGACAGAAAACGAATTCCAAAGAACTACCCGATGGACAAACCTGATCAGAATAGTCACTGAACGCCGATGAATCACGACTTCTAACAACATCGTACGCGATTGTAATAGTGAAATCTTGGAACGAAACTATATCAAGTATAACCATAAAGATGTTGAGATATTTGCAAAACTCCGCACCTGTCCGCGGTGGGGAACGAATGCGCTATTATCCTTTTCGAAAGCTAACCCTTTCACCAACATAGAAAGGGTAACAGCGCATTCGTTCTCCACTGCAGACACCAACGGTTATATTTCACATAGTACCCTGCCGTTAAAATAAAAGAATAGACAGTAAATGAAGAGCGACTATATACCAAGCATCTCAAGAAACGTAGATTTTAATAATAGATAGTAATAATAACAGATAATCAGAATCAGACAAAGCGCTGAAATTGACTACCTCTATAAACCTCCGCATTGATTTCATTAAACTTCGTTATAAAAGCGTGTTTCAACCAGTCGACAAGTAATTCGGCTCCAAAAACCATAAGCTGAATCATCTAACGATAAGAAATCATGTGATACTTATAAAATTAAGGAAGCAACTTACGACATCCGGCATCATTTCTCGTAAGTGTTCACTACTCCAATTGACTGCCATCATGTTTCGAACGATCACAACAAACAACAGAGCGATTATATGGAATCGCTCACGCACATCACTTAAATCGTAAATAATGTTGCTGCCACCTTCAAGAACTCAAACTACTTCTTAATCAATCTACTATAATTTTCTTCAACAAAAAGCACTAGATTTATAAAGCGCAGTATCTAAAATATCGAAGTATGGCAAACAAGGAATTATTAATCTCTCGAAACAAAGCTGGTCTACCCAAACAGTTATAACTAGGGTATTTCAAAATCAGACCATTTAATGAAGTTTTACAAGTGACCTTGGTCTCTCGAACTAGCGTTAAATATAACTCTAATAAAATACTCTTCCAATTTCCTACTTGGCTAGAAATTCCCAAAAAGCGAAGAAATTTAGATTTTCAAAATTTACCATGCAGGTGGGATACTCCCAAAAAGTAATGATACCCTAGGAACCCCAGAGTCTCTTAGTTGGACGATATCCTCACAACATGAATCCTAATTTAAAAAAAGCCCAAAAAGCACCTTTAGTGGGCTCCATAAAACTAGCGGTTTGCCGTTTTAGAACAAGAGAAATTGTATTTTGAGAGCAAAACCTCTGCACTATGATGACTTCTATTACAATTAATGCTGTTCAATAATAGCTGAGATATGCATATTTGAAGTTCACAGTAGTCATTATTTCCGCACGAGGCGCATTGAAATCAATACACATCGTCAAAAATTGGTGAATGAAACGCTTAACCTGCAAGCCATTTGGAAGAGATTAGCCTTCGCAAACTTCTTGAATACTGATCCTTTCAGTTCGACAAAGTTATTGGACATCATTATAGCTAGGAGAGCCTGATTGTGTGAGTTGAATGCAACATTCAGTGTAGTCGCCTAGACTAACACAGGCTCATTAAAGCAAGTAATCATAAAGAGAATCACGATCGAAAGTTAATAGTTGAAAATTGGCTAAGTAAATGGGTAAAGGATAAAGCTTTCGGTGTTGATCAATCCGCAAGGGATGCGCCATGCATTCGACTTCATAAGCATCATTGGAGGCGACTTATCTGGCCTTCACAATGACTCACGGTGGCCTACCGATTTACCGAGCCAGTGCTGTATCCTCCCAGATAAGTCTGGTACCAATTTTCCGACCCGGGAGAGATGGAAGGCTTGGTGGATCTGCAGCGCAAAGATCGATCCCCTGTGTACTGTAGGGCGCCTCCGACCAATGCGCTACACGCACCCCATACATGTAATAACAAAAGTAAAAAGCACAAATACCTGTAACAAAACCAAGAATGTATGTATCGATGCATAAGATAGAGCGAAAGCAAAGTGACACGATGTTCTTACAACACTTCTGAATGTTTTTGGTTCATTGGCCGTCCAAAAAAGTGCGTCAAGGATGTCCTGGATGTAACACGTTAGCGCAAAAGTGAATATGATGATAGGCTAAACATTGCTTAAGAGTTACCTGCCCTAAACTGCTGAACAACTTATCAGCTACTTCTAACATATTGTAAAAAATGTACAACTTTATAACACCTTGACCACGCACCTGGTGGTAAACAACAGAAGTATCTGTAAAGGATACTGTGTAGTTAATTACACAGAAGAATCTACTATTTTTACTAAGAACAAAGTAACACACCTATGTGTTGCATAAGGATGGACCCCAAAACTATGATCCAAACTTTGAAGAAGTCGCACGTCTCGGCAGAAGTCCACGGACGTAGTTGAAGTACGAAACCAAGAATTGACATCTGAAAACCACTGAAACTGATAAAGAGTAACTGCAGTAGTTTTAAAGCAGACGAATTAGTCGTTAATAGAACGTACAAAGAATCTGATTGGAAGGAATGTGAAAAGATAGCAAAATGCATCAATACACTGGAGCAAACCATAGAAAAGAAATCTTTCAACCTGAAATGAGGTCAGCAATTTAGAACACATTTTAAGCACCTTTGTTTCCCGCAAGGTGAAAATAAACCTCACGGTGAAACCTTAATACATAAAAGCTACTTCTATTGGAATCCTTAAAAATGCGTAAACCTTCCGCCTTTTCTCAGTATAGCGTGTCTGATCATTGTGCAACGAATAGCCCCTGTAAATAGGAAATGATGGCATACTTATAAAGGAAAACAGTGGGATACACACGACTACTTACAGAAATATAAAGACTCACCTAGTCAATTCACTCCAGAAATACTCAAGGAATCTGCACTTTGACATAAGGATATAAGGATTTTGCCGCCCATCTATAACGATGCCTAGTATGAGTAACGAGAATTAATAGTGAAATGCAGGTAAACATTCGCTGCAGAAAAATGAAAACGATCTTCATCGTTGGTTGGGGACTGGTATACTAGATGTCATAGGTATGTGTACGCGTATATATACTTGGACACATGGATGGGCCGGCCGTCACAGGTTGTGCAGACGCCACAGCATAATTCCCATTTTTTTGGTATTTTATGGTTTGGCCACTGTGTTTCCCTGGAGTCCCACGGTCAGTCTAGCCAAAGCTTGCCACAGTTCGTCCTAACCACGGGCAGCCGCCACCCTTGTAGATCAGAGAGAGAATTGCCACCATGCGACTAGTTTGAAACCAGGACAGTGGCGGATCCTGGCGCTGGTTTACTCTTTCTTAGTAGGGATTCCTAATGGAAACGGACTATATCTCAACTTGAGAGACCCTGCTATGGGATGAATCCCCTGCTGTATATCGCAGCCAGACACCCAGGAACACCTCTCTGCCACAATGAGGTGGAAAACCATTAAGAGGAATACATATATATATATTATATGTATATATACATATACGACACTTGACACACTTGAACGGCCAGTCCTCACTGGTAGTGAGGGTTCCAGTATAACCACCATTAATCGGAGATTCGCTGGCTAAGCCATTGTGGCTCTCTGGAATCCCGAGGTCAGCCTGGCCAAAGTCTGTTCCAGGTCTTCACCACCATGGGCAGTCGCAGCCCTTGTGGACCAGAGAGGGATTTGCAATCATGCGACTTGTTTGATACCAGGACAGTGGTGGATCCTGATATTGGTTATGTTTAACATACAAATATACGTATGTTTATGTGTATACATGTACATGAATGTAAATGCAAATATGCACACATCTGTATGCATAGCATGCATATATATATGCACATATGTACATATATATGCATATATATATATATATATATACATATATATATGAGAGCGTGTGGCGCAGTGGTTGGAGGCGTCGTAGAACACACACGTGAAATCGATCCACGCGCACATGACCTTCTCAGCCTTTCATCCTTTCGAGGTCTCCAAATTGGTACCAGATTTGTCTGGGAGGATAGCAACACTGGCTCGATACATCGTAAGCCACCGCGAGTCATTGTAAAGGCCAGATATATTCAATCACCTCCAAATGGTGCTTAATGAAGTCGAATGCATGCGCATCCCTCAGCGATTGATCAACACCGAGAACTTTATCCTTTTATCCATCATATATACACACATATATATATATCCGCTGTATCCTGCCACGACATGGAATTCCCAGCGGAAAGGTTCCGTACCAATCTTTTCTGCTCCAAAACCCTCGTCTCGAACATTGAAATCCACGATGGAGAAAAAGCGCCTGGAATTCTAACCTCCGAAATTCCAGTTGTGATAGAAAGCATGAACAGAAGCACAGCTCTAGTACCCCATAATACACGACCAATGGAGGACGTCGCACACACTCAGCCTGTTCAAGAAAGGTGGCCGAAGGGAGAATCGCAACTGCCGTCTAGATCCAACCTATGCAATTTTTGGGATATAGGAGAATATACATCAATAGCGAAACACAGATGTGCTGATCACATAATAAGAACACATGGTATATGGATGAGAAGAACAGTGGAGTGAACTCCAACAGAATGCAAGCGTTCTCTGGAAAACCACCCAAACGAAAGAGCACAACGTCTCACCCAGCTGCATTAGCAGATGGAAACGTTTCTAGGGATTCGGAATGGGCCTCGCGGACGTTAGCATGTTCGAAGCAGATCCTCACCGTAGAAGACAACTGCGCGTGACAGAAACGAATGGAAGTTATGCTAGGGCCGCACAACCACTGAATACGGGTCATCCATGCATCAGAGCACGTAAGTGCATAAATATTATACATAGGTATATTCAACAATTGCGGGTTCGCAAATATCACAACGCTGCTTAACAACTCCTTCACCCAACGGCCCTCTCCTTTCTTTGAGCATGTTAACCGCAATGTATATCACAGCAATCTTTCATCTCTTGAAAAACACTGTCAAGGGAAAAACTACACAACTTGAGCAGCAAACGTTGCCACAAAAACCCCCAATTGATTTTTTAAAGATTCTTGAGGACACGAGTGATATGATCCTTGATGGGTATGTCAATAAAACCAAATATATCGATTATGACAGTTTCCCCTGTTCACTGTGTTGGTGAGACTTCTGGCGTAAAAGGAATACAATCATGACGAAAAATTACGAAATAATTGTAAAAACTTGAAGAAAATGTGCATCCAACACGTTGGATGGGTGGTCTCTAAAGGAGGGTCCAGCAGATTGAACACGAAATCCTCAAAGAGTGAACGCTTTTCCAAGTAAATCAATGAAATCGAAGTAAATACCAGTCAACAACAACCATAATTTCCTTCTAAACGAGTAAACTGATAAGAACAAAACCAAAGGATAAAGCTCTCAGAGTCGACCATTCTCTGAGGGTTTCGCCATGCAATTGACTTCATCAAGCATCGATGGAGCAGGTGATTGAATACACACCTTGCCTTTACAATGACTCGCGCTGGGCTACCGATGCCTCGAGCCGGTGCAGTTAAACTTCTGGACAAGTCTGGTGCCAATCTGTCGACCCTGGAGGGATAGAAGAAGGCTTGGTGAATCTGCGGCGCGGGAACGATACCATGTGCATTGCAGGTCTCCTCTGACCACTGCGCCACACACGCCTCATAAACCGATAAAGAAAACAAAGTAATATTCAAATAAGAGCTTACACCTGTCCGACAATAGCAATTCGTCGTTGTCGACGTCGTCATCGCATGAAATAGTGAGATTGTCTGCTAAAGAAATATGAACTGGTCGATAGGATGATGAACAGGGTTCATCCTCAAGATCGCTGCCAACAGTGAAAGCTTCGGATGATCTCGAATCGCTCCTTTCTTTCCTTAAGCGAAGACCTCTATCCATTGTCGACAGTACGTCTTACTCAGATTCAACTGGTACTGCCACAATCTGAAACGATAATTTTTAGCGGAGACGAAAAAGAACATTGCAAAGCATGCCGAGAGGAGAGCGAAAACGCTCTCTAAATCTAGTTACCGTCAAGAAGTCCTAAAGGCACAAAACCAAAACAAAAACAAACAAACGAAGAAACGAAGAACGTGAATCTGGTGAATGAAAGTGCTCAGAACAAAATACGATGTGAAATATAAAGAAGCTGTTACTCTTATACACAACAAATCCTTGTTGTCAAAGTAAAATTGACAACGCCAACAAAATGCCATTGAAATGACACCACTTCGATGACAACCATCCTGGACAAAGCATAGAGTCTACTCTAAAAGCATCTTGGGTGATTCTTGAAAAAGAACCCTAGAATTTTTCCTTTTCCGAGCGGTGCTCTGCTCCAGGAGATTCGACTCGATCGGACTACAAAGACCCAGATCGTCAAAATGACCGGCTCCGGACGATCGACTCAGATCGATCCGGATCGATCCAGACCAGTAAAAGGCGAAGGTGATGAAGTCATAGCCAGATATAAACTTTCCTGCACTATCCTCATTTTCGGGTGACAATGAAATAATGTATTTCAATGCAGTTTAGAAGGTCTCAAAATATTACGTCTCACCTATTGAAGTCTACCGGTTCAAGAATTATAGAATCACTTAAACTGTAAGCATGTATAACTTCAAATAGAAGAAATATAAAGAAGAATGAAATGAAGACAAAAAGTAGAAGAAACCTCACCTGCGAATAGTGTCAAACCGCTAACAGTTTCCATGCTCTATTGCAACAGAGATGCTCCAATCGAATGGACAGCCTTTATTGCTTTTACTTCTTATTTCTTACCGTCATCTCGTAGTACCAAATCCGTTAATGCGTTGGATTTCAGCTCCATGCTGCTTATTCTTTTAAATCCTACATATGCATTCCTTACGTCATACTCCTTTCCGTTTTTGCTGCTGTTCGTCGTCAATGGATAACTGCGTTTAGAGCAGTTTCTACCCCTCATGGTCTTCTTTTCCTCTTCTTTTTCTTCTTTCATTCTTCCTAAAGTGTCGTACTCCACCAGTCGCTCATATAACTCTGATGATTCTCACGTGCTGTTCTATGATGTAAATGCTACGCGAGTTATCATTGCTCGATTTCATGCATGATGACTCATCGAAACGTTCGTCTGTTTGAATACCGTCATGAGCACTGTCCGGTTGCTAATTCTGGCCACCTTAGAGCCATTAGTGACCTTAAAATCATCTTGCTTTTTTCATGTTATTGTTAAGGGTCGTTGTTTTCGGTCCATCACTAACTAGTAAAGTTTCTAAAGTTTCTTCGAGTTTCTTTTTGCATATAAACGTTAACGGAATCATTTTGCAAAGAATTTGTTCACTTGAAGTCATATTGTTCAAGCTTGGAACTGGCAGTTTCGTATGTCCAGTTGTGTTTTGGCGCTGGTTACTTAACTACTGGATGAATTTTTCTTTCATACCTCATGTCGTCAAGTTATCCGATTCCAAAGCCAAGGACTCGCTTCAACGTAAGCTTTTGTTGTGGATTCTTTACCGGACTTCTTACTCGACTCCATTTCCCGTTTAAAAGTATGTAGGCGAAGAAATGCTTAAGTATCGACATTAAACGACTCCTTGAAACCCGCATGACCTAGCATTTGACTTTGTTCGTTGCTTAGTGCTGCTTCAGGGCAAGTAGAGCCCGTTTAAATGTCTAGATCGACTAATGAACTGAAAATTTTCCGGCTAAAGTACTCCTTATGTATCAATGAAAGGTTGAATTAAATAATGTAGATGAATTTATTGTGTTACTTGTATTAAAGTTTTGTAACCATTTGTAGATCGGAGTGGTTTGTGAAACACATTCGAGTCTGCTGAAGGAATCGAACTTGAGCCCTGCAAACTCATGTAAGAGAATCAGCTTTTTCTCCGCATTTGATATAAATGTCCATACGTCGAGTTGACATAGAGTTAAACCACATAAATCCTCCACTCTGGACAAACGATTGGTATTTTACCCTTCTTCTGTTAAAAAATTGGTCACACTTCATTAGCGACTTTCTGTGCTGTTATTTCTTCGCTTTTTGTTTCACTTCTTTGCGGTTTTGTTGACTCTATGATTGATTGTGGAATTCGGTGAGTAGCACAACAGTGGAGACATTATTTTATGGTCACGGAAGTTTCTTCAATAATTGTTAAATTTGATGGGGTAGGAATAAAACTCATTACTGTTCCAATAAGTAGTGATGATCTGACTGAAAAAGCGTTGAACTCGTGTGTGTGTGTGTGTGTGTGTGATCGCATCCAGGCAGACTCTTCACTACAAACGGTCCGTCTCCACGAGTTGTATGGACCACAGCACATTTTCCATGTGCTTCTTTACTTCACAGTTGTCGTGCATGGTGGTGGTTATTTATCGGAGCACGGTGGCGAGTGCGAGTCTTACACTGCGATTTGTAAGATAACTGCGGCTGCGATTACAGATGTTTGACTTTCGTTACCAACAACTTCGCCCAACGTGTAGGTAGTCGTTCTAGGGTGTGCCCTCATCCTCGCATAGTCCACTCCTCTGTTATTTTCGTCCATCTGTCATCTGCTGTCTTTGTACAACCAATCTATTCACGTTTCGCTCTCAAAGTGTTTTCCGGTTTCTGAGAATGGGACAGATTTCGAAAATCAGAACTTCGCATTTCAGCTGAATGAGTGTGCCAGTTATATTGCAGAAGACATGGTTCATCATCGCTGTGTGAGTAGTGCTCAGTATGCTTGACCTGGTTGAAGTATCATGTTGAATTGAAAGAGTGAGTGCTGGACTTCGCGTCCTTTCGTGGGTCGACGGCTTTTGTGAGGGGTCCGAATGCTACGCGAGCTGCTCTCATTCATCCGTCTAATTCCTCATGCATATCGTTTTGCATATTCTTTGAACAAGAGCGGTACACGTGCGAGGTGGTCTATGCAATCGGGGGACCATATAGTTTGATCTGATCGCCTTCTCACCATGGCTTTTTCATGAACTGGATCTTCTTCCGATTTATGCGTAGTCCGATCACTTTTCTCGCTTCGTTGAGCTCATCGATCATCGTCTCTGCTTTGCTGGTACTTTTTGAGAAGATAACGATATCGTCGGCCAAACGAAGATTTGGAAGGAATTTTTCATCAGTACGTACGCCTTTGTCGTCCCAATCTTATGACTTTATTATCCACTTCAATGTGCCACTAAAAAGCTTTGGTGATATGGTGTCGCTTTATCATACCGCTTTTCCTATGGGTATTGTAAAAGGCCGACGGAGAAGCCATGTTTTAATCTTGTAGTTTCTGCAAGTGTGATAAAGTTCCTATGTAGAGTGGGCCCACTCCTTGGTCGTCGAGGGTGGATAAGATTATAGTCGTTTCGATGCTGTCAAACGCTTCTTCATCGTCGGCATAAGTTCGGACTAGGGACAGGTAGCATTCCCGATAAACTTCAGTGACCCTGGACACAGTTTGGATGTGGTCCATGCAGCAAAATCCTTGTCGAATTCCTGTCTGCTTCACTAGTTGCTGCTCAACCATTGCCCTTGATATGTGCGTCAGGGTAATCTTTGTGAAATGCTAGTAGAGTGCACTCAACAATCATATCGGGCCATTGTTACGAGGATCTTTTCGGTCACCGTTTTTTAGCAGAATGGTCGTAGGTGACGTCCTGATTTGGTCTGGGATTTTTTCCTTTTGAAATCAGGATATCGTATCCTATACGAGAAATACATTTAAATTGTGGGTCCCAGCTGTGAGGAAGTCGGCGGTGATATTGTGGTGTTTTTCATCCGTGGTTATCTTCACGCTTTCTATCCCATCTTGAGCTTTAGAGAAGAGAATTCCAGGTGGTTTTTCTCCTACAGGGATTTCATAGTCTGGGACCGGGATTGCGGTACTGAAAAGGTTGATATAGAACGGTTCTGTTATCAATCCGTTATCATTACGGCAAGTTTTAGTTGTCCCATCTTTGTCCATCATTCATGACAGCGGAACATTATAGTCGCACAAGTCCTGCCGCCACTTTTTCAGACTGGTTCTTTTTTGTGCTGTTTATAACAGTTTCTTGTGCCTGTGCGGGTATAAATCTAATGAAGCTCTTCTGCAACTTGCACTTATTGGTACCCGTGTTAAGTGGGACTTCCTAGTGGAAATGGAGCTCGATCTGATTTTCTTGCTTGAGGAACTGACGGGAATTCGGCAAAACTTTTAATTCCTTCGGCAAGCGGCTCGTGGTCTTCGGTCAAGTTTTTCGTAATCTTCCAGTCAGACGGTTCAGTCCGTTTGGACATGATTTCGTTCGGATTTGTCCATCATATACAACTTGACTCTTTCTTCTTGGTCAGTGACATGAATTCCCTTCCAGTTTACGGCTGGATCGAATCTTCGCATTTAGAATTCAATGCTTGCACTCAGTACACAGTGACCGGACTACCGATGTTTCAAGTAAATAGGCACCATCTTCTGTTACTAAGCGTGTGGTCCGTGTCCGTATGAGTCGTGCTCTAAGGTGATTCTCACGCACACTGGCAAATTTGCTCTGTAAAAATAGAAGAGTCGTGTAATGGACAGGGCTCATCCCTGTCCCTTGAGTCTTGATGTAACCGTGCAAGGGCGTTTTCAGGTCTTCACCATGATATTTATCCAAGGAAATGCAGCGAAGATTTTACTGCTTTACTACTGTTAGCTAGAGTTCGCTTATTTCTCTATATTGTTTATTTAAGATGGTTCTCTTAACGAAGTTAATACTTCTATTTCGGAAGAAAAGTTGCAAAATAATACTGTTGAACGCTTCGATTTGCTTCCACCGCCTTTACCTCCACTTCTACCGCCTCGCCCACCTCCCACAACACCTGAAATAAAGGTAAGTCTGTTCTGTTCTGAACAGATTTTACGTTTGTTTGTCTACGTGAAGAAGCAAATGCGACCAACATGTCATACCTTTATGATGAATCATTTCTGGTCTAAAATATCGTTGACATTGTTACTGCACAGACTGACTGTCTCTACTGTGGTGGAGTCATACGAAAGACATACCAGTTCTCACGTACTTATTGACCACTGTCTACTTGTGTCCAGTTAAGTCAACTGAAATGAAGCTTCCTTCAGTTACCTACTGAATCAACCTCCGATCCTCCTCGCCTACCACATTCTGGCCGAGAAAATCACGAGATTCCAGCGCTGGTACCTACTGTATCTCCTCCTTTGCCATGTTGTCCGGTAACTCCATGTCTTCTTGTGAGATTTCAAAGCGAGTGTTGTGTAATGTTTGTTCCAGAAAGGATGGGAAAAAACGAGTCCGACATACATTGACAGCAATTCGTATGAGACTGTGAGGAGGTAGGTGTGTGTTAAGTTTTAGTGAAGATTCTTATTTGTGGCAATTGAATTGTTCAGATGCCACTCCACCATGCCAGATCCAACATGCCGTCGTATTGATTTTATAGAAAATCCAATCTACATGTCTTTGGTTTCATTCCGAAAAAAGGCATTTGGCGACGTTGAGAAAAAAACCGAAATGAATGGTGAGCGCTCACAAACTCCGCTAGACACGGAAATATGTGGCCCATCAAGAGGAGATAATGAAAGGTTTTCTTATTCTGTTTTGGTTTTTTTTTTTGGATATTTCCTTACTTGTTAAAGAAACATCTTTTTGCTCAGTACTAATGATATGGAGGAGAATGAAGATATGCAGCACTCTTCTTCGGATTTCTCATGTTTTTCAGGTGCGCAAAACTCTGCATTCGTTTTCTATTTGATCGTTTCATCATACTTTATAGATTCGTCTCACGGTGTGTTGGAAAAGACCATACCTCCCACGAAAAGTGTTCTGTCATCGCGTCCGGAAAATTTCGAAGATAGGTACACGCCTTCACCTCAGAGGTATTACTGTTCTTACAGTGCGTGCTATGATTGCTCTCAGCGTCTAACTTTCAGAAATAGGAACAGTATGAATAATAAGTGTGGAATGGATTCAAGCCTATTAGACAATCTTGAGAAAGTTGTCGAAATAGCGGAAGACCCGAAAAATATTGATGAGATTGGTTTGTGCACACTTCTTATCTAGTTTCTTTTCTACAGATTTATCTGTTATCTCAAGCAGTCACTGTTTTAGACAACCTGCATGACGAGAATTCTCCAAGTACCCAATTCAGCAGTACCGCTGTCGCTTATTTTGGTAACGTCTCACTTCATATCGGTAAAAGGGACAGAAGGAAGGTCCATGCTCGCTTAAGAAACATGAGACTCAGTTTCCATGAAGATGACACCGTCCGTTTTTTTTACGAAAAGACTCGTTCTACGATTATTTCAAAAACTATTTTCAGTCTGAGGAGTGCATTGCTGGTCCATTTTCCCTGCTGGAATGTGAATTAATTTGCCGAGATGAACAAAACATAACTATCAGGCTTAGTGAGAAGGAAACTGGCAAATCTGTGATATTCACATCTGACAGTGATGCAGAGACATGGACACTGTTACTGGGAGAAGTAGGAATTCATTGATTTGAATGTTTCTAGTGACTCGTCGGTCAATTGGTATTACAAAAAGCTAGTTTTCCATTTAGTTATCTATCTGTTGTAATATAGTGCCCATTAACGTTGCTGAGATATTTGCAAAACTCCGGACCGCAGGTGTCCATAGTGGGGAACGAACGCGCTATTGTCCTTTCCGGGGAGTAACGCGTTCACCACCACACCATGCGGGTC